ATAAAAATTCTATTACCTGTGTTATTCTGTGCTCTCTATACTGTATACTATATGTTATATCTCACTGGCTGATTGATGTGATTACACATCTTGCTTCTTATTTCTGTGTTTTTCTTTCCTTGTGTGAGGACATAGTAAGTTATAATTGTGTTTTTGAAAATATATTTATGCATCAAATTATTGTAATTAAACATGGTCACACTCACGCGCTTCCGTCCTCTTCTTCCAGTGCTGGCATTTCGTTGGGAGTTCTTTCCAGGATTTTTTCTAGAACTCATCTCTCCTGCTCGTGCTTCAACTCCACGTCCAAGTGTAGCCCAAGTATGTTTTGCGATGAATCTTTTATGGCCTCCTTTTTTACTTTCTGTTTCAGTTTCTTCCAGTTTTTTTCCTGGAATTAATTAATGACTCATGTGTGTAACTAAAACCAGTTCATGTCGCTACTCCACCCAACCAGTCGAGGCAGATGGCCGTCCCTCCCTGAGCCTGGTTCTGCCTTCCCACTGTTGTGGACTGCTTGCGGACTGCTGAAGCTTATAGGGAATCCAGATGTTTTGGATTGTTGGGTGTTTCTGTCTCTGCCTTTGTGAAGCGCTATGAGATGACTGTTGTTGTAAATATGCGCTATACAAATAAAATTGAATTGAATTGAATTGAATTGAACTTGCAGTAGTCGTTAAGGGTGAAAGTGAGAGAGACGAAAATGGAAAAGACAAGCCTTGTCAAAATTACTTCATAACGTCTGCTGTCCTGTCGTTTCCTGCATGAATTTCTATGCTTTTTCTTCTCTCTTGTTTCCCAGATGACATTTCCAGCTGAGTCATAAATGCATGCCACATGTCCAAGTCCATTAAAATATCAAATTTTTCGCCAGTCCTGATGTGCGTGGCGATTTTGGTGAGTTTTCGAGCATGCTTGGGCCCTCAAAATCGCGTTTCAAAAGTCGATAAAATAATAGTAAATAAAAATAAATAATAATAATAATAAATAATAACAATAATAATCACAACGGTTAAAATAGGGTCCTTGTACTGGTGTGCTCGGACCCTAAAAAGTCATACTATAGCATGT